CCAAATACAGGGTTAATAGCCAAAGAGATCAGAGCGATAGCCATGACTAGCCTTAGCTTACCACCAGCAGTAGCTTCCCCAGAGAGAGACCTCTTCCTGCCTAACCTGCACTTTTATTGCTTTCCTGATCTGCCTTCTCATTGGCTCTAAACCCAGCCACATGACTTCCTTGTCACTGCCTGTCTATACAGACCTCCAGGTCTCTATGGTTGGTACTGGGATTAAAGGCTCCTGTTACCACGTTTGGCTGTGTCCTTGACCACACAGAGACTCTGCCTGCCATGTGATTGGATTAAGTGTGTACTACCACCACTTGACTCTGCCTATGGCTCGCTTTGACCTCTGACCCCCAGGCAACTTTATTTATTAACATACAAATAAAATCACATTTCAGCACAAATAAAATATCACCATACAACAGATAAACCTTGGGCTATAACAAGCCAAGCTGCTGCTGCTCTTCCAAACTCTCTGATCTGGGGACTCATGTGCCTGGCTGAACTGTGGTTTCCTATGTGACCATCCCAAACGTCAGGATCTCAGAATATGTTTTCAAAAAGAGTCATTAAGAAAGTAATTAAATTGAAATAAGGTTTTTTGTTTGGTTGGTTTTTGGTTTTTTGGTTTTTTGAGACAGGGTTTCTCTGCATAGTTTTGGTGCCTGTCCTGGATCTTGCGCTGTAGACCAAGCTGGCTTTGAACTCACAGAGATCCACCTGGCTCTGCTTCCCGAGTGCTGGGATTAAAGGCATGCTCCACTGCCGCCTGGCTGAAATAAAGTTTTAAGTGTGGACTCTAATTCAGTATGGCCTGGGTCCCTTTAAGAGGAAATTGAGATACACACACACACACACACACACACACACACACACACACACACACACACACACACACACGTGAAGCTATAAGGACACTGGGAGGAGAGAGGCCTTAGGAGAAACCCACCACACCCACACCTTGACCTTAAGCCTCCGTCCCCCACTACAGTGAAGGGATACAGTTATTAAGCTCCTTGGCCTGTGACTTTGTTATAGTACCCTGAGTTAATGTGTGCTCCAGTCCTGCTGCAGAAAAGCATTCCATAAGAACATGACTCTCCCTGTGTAGCTAGAGTTTTCCTGCCTGGCCCAGAGTCAGGACAAATCTCTCTCACCCGCCAGTCCCAAGCCGCTCAAACCCGATCAAATAAACACAGACACTTATATTGGTTTCCAACTGTATGGCCGTGGCAGGCTTCTTGCTAACTGTTCTTACAGCTTAAATTAATCCATTTCTATTAATCTATACCTTGCCACGTGGCTTGTGGCTTACCGGTACTTTACATCTTCCTTATCCTGATGGCGGCTGGCAGTGTCTCTCTGACTCAGCCTTCCACTTCCCAGCTCTATTCTCCTCCTTGTCCCGCCTATACTTCCTGCCTAGCCAATGGCCAATCAGTGATTTATTTATTGACCAATCAGCAACACATTTGACATACAGACCATCCCACAGTACTTCCCCTTTTCTTTTCTTAAAAAGGAAGGTTTTAACCTTTACATATCTCTAAAGTCAGCTTGGTATATTTGGGAATTTGGGCGTAGCTTCTCTTACTACTTTCTGCTGGAGGGGGGCGCTGTATCTTCTGGGGAAACAAAGAAAATTTTAGGATCATGGAGTAGTCCGTGAGGCTGTATCATCTGAGCCAGTTGTCTTGAAACGGTTCTGGATGTTGGATCATCTGGGCCATGGTGTCATCGGAGACCTTTCAGGGGGTCTTGGCTGGTCAAACCTGATGTATCTTACTCTGGAACAAATCCATAGCCTCTTGCTTTCTGTGGAAACAAAAGAGACTCTTTTCCAAAGCAACATATCCTTACATCCAAATTTTGAAGTCAAAGTATCTTTAAAATATACATACTGGTTTAACTCAGCTTCCTTTATAATCAAATATCTCTCTGTAGTTAAGAATCCCAAAGACAACACAATCCAGACTCTCTGTGTAATAGTCATCTCTACGTGGCTTATTTTTTATATTAATTTTACTGTCTCTTTAAAGACTTTATTTTTTAAAACCATGTATTTGTTTCTATACTGTATATATCACCTTTTTTTGTCTCTTTCAAGCCTACGTATATTTTACACATATTTTAAACTATTACATCTGAATCTGTCTTATTGTGAATCTATTGCTTTAAGCTGTAGCAGCTGTGGCTGCTGGCTCCGCCCACCTCAGCTTTCCCACATGGCGGCAGTATGCTTACCACCAGCTCTGGGAGCTATTGTGGGTCTATGCTTTTATCCAAGCAGCGTGTAGCCCAGAAACCTCTTTTTTTGTTTTGTACTAGCAAAGGCTAAATCCATAATGTAGCTTAATGTGCCATTTGCAGAGGCCTCATTCCCGCCATACGGCAGGTCGAGCGTGCACGCCAGCAACCCGCCAGTAGCTCAAACCGGCAGCTGCCGCTCATTTGAGAGAGACAATTAGGAAGCTGTTTTTAGCTCCGTTTTAGAATCTTTTTTCTCAGGTTTTAGGTGGAAACTCTTGCCCCACGTTGGGCGCCATTTGTAGCTAGAGTTTTCCTACCTGGCCCAGAGTCAGGACAAATCTCTCTCACCCGCCAGTCCCAAGCCGCTCAAACCCGATCAAATAAACACAGACACTTATATTGGTTTCCAACTGTATGGCCGTGGCAGGCTTCTTGCTAACTGTTCTTACAGCTTAAATTAATCCATTTCTATTAATCTATACCTTGCCACGTGGCTTGTGGCTTACCGGTACTTTACATCTTCCTTATCCTGATGGCGGCTGGCAGTGTCTCTCTGACTCAGCCTTCCACTTCCCAGCTCTATTCTCCTCCTTGTCCCGCCTATACTTCCTGCCTAGCCAATGGCCAATCAATGATTTATTTATTGACCAATCAGCAACACATTTGACATACAGACCATCCCACAGTATCCCTGCTGCCACTTTCCTCCAGTTTCTGGCCTAGTTCTCATCTGGGATGTGGACCCCTGCTGTGGGATGTTCTGTATGGCAAATGTGTTGCTGATTGGTCAATAAATAAAACACTGATTGGCCATTGGCTAGGCAGGAAGTGTAGGCGGGACAAGGAGGAGAATAAAGCTGGGAAGTAGAAGGCTAAGTCAGAGAGACACTGTCAGCTGCCATGATGACAAACAGCATGTGAAGATGCCGGTAAGCCACGAGCCATGTGGCAAGGTATAGATTAATGGAAATGGATTAATTTAAGCTATAAGAACAGCTAGCAAGAAGCCTGCCACAGCCATACAGTTTGTAATCAATATAAGTCTCTGTGTTTATTTGGTTGGGTCTGAGTGGCTGTGGGAGTGGCGGGTGTCAGAGATTTGTCCCGACTGTGGGCCAGGCAGGAAAACTTTAGCTACAGACCCCCACTTTGAGGGAATTCTCTCCTTGGCAACCTATCAAAGTGACACTTACATGTTGTATTCTATCACATCTGTTCCTATCTTTTCCTCGATCTACCTCAAAACCCTCACACTCACATTACATTTATGTTTATAGTTACATACACCTATATCATATTCAACCATGTTTTGGATGACTGACACATTGTCATTGCCGGCGATTGAGACATATGGCAGCAGGCATCATAGCTGAAAACTAAAAGTAATGATGGCTGTATGCTGAGGCTCTTCACAAAGCCACAGATTCAAGAACAGACAAGTTGTGAGCATCTAAGTTTGTGACAAGCATGTCATTACACATGAAAGCCTGCAGGGTTATAGGCTGTACTGATAGATTTACATAGATATCACAGGAAGATATTACAACAACCTTCTGAATTAATAAACTACTATTTCAAGGAGCTGGGAAGGAGCTTGACCAGTAAACTGCTTGCCATGCGAGCATGTGGAATTGAGTTTTATCCCCAGCAGACAGCTTTGGTTGTGTGTGGGAGCACACACCTGTAATCCAGAGTTGGGGAGGTGCAGGTGGGGTATCACTGAGGCTTGCTAGCCAGGCAGTCTAGTCGAAAGAGTGAACTCCAGGTTCAGCGAGAGGCCCACAAAAATTAAGATGAATTAATTTTGCTTTACACCTGAAGAGAATTCCATCATGTATATGCACAACATTTTCATTGTCCATTCATCATTTTAAGGACATAAAGGTTGTATTTTCTAGCTATTGTAAACAGTATCAATGAACATGGCTGAGCAGGTATCTGTGGAGTAGGATGTTGAGTCTTCAGGCACCTGGGAAGGAGTGGTAGAGTTGGGTCATATGGTAGATTTATTTTTAGCTTTCTGTTCATTTCCAACGCTAACTTCCCTAGTGGCTGCCCAGTTTGCAGTCCCCAACAGTGAGTGAGGCTCCCCCTTTTCCCACATCCTCGCCAGCGTTGGTTGTCAGCCGTTTTCTTGACATTAGCCCTGCTGACTGGGGTGAAATGAAATGTCAAAGGGATCTTAATTTACATTTTCCTAATTGCTAAGTATACTGAACACCTCTAGATATTTTCAGGTAAATGAATGGAACCAGAACATACAATTCTGAGGTGACCCTGACCCAAAAAGACAATCTCCGTGTGTTCTCAATGTGGATCCTAGCTTCAAACCTTTGGAGTCTATCACCTGGAGTAACAGTGAACATCAGAAAAGCAAAGGGACCTTGGTGGGGCTCTAGCAAGGGGAAGAGTGGGGCATGGCACAATGAAGGGGAGACCACAGGAGGGACTTACCTGGGAGGGGAGAGAGACACAGAGGGAGAGGGAGGAAGGTGGGATAAATAATACCAAGGATGTCTGAAAAGCGGTAAGGAATCATATTGTTTCATGTCTACTTAAAATTACACACACACATGCCAGGGCAGTGGTGGCACACACCTTTAATCCCAGCACTTGGGAGGCAGAGCCAGGAGGAGCTCTGTGAGTTCAAGGCCAGCCTGGTTTACAGAGCGAGATTCAAGACAGGCACCAAAAGTACACTGAGAACCCTGTCTTGAAAAAATAAAAAAATAAAATAAAAATTACACACACATAGGCCTCCTTGTGCTTACCACAGGCTATGTTCTTACACTGTATAGAAAGAGGAGGTAGAAAGAGGAGGTGTGTGAGAGTATATACAAGTATGCGTGTGAGTGTATGTCTGTGTGAGTGTGTGTGTAAGTGTATGAGTGTGTATGTATGAGTATGTATGGGTGGGCGTGTATGTGCACATTAGTGTTTGTAAGTGACTGTGTGTGTGTGTGTGTGTGTGTGTGTGTGTGTGCTTGTAATTTAAATGAAGTTACACCAGTTGGGATGACAATGTTTTCTAAGAGCCACAGACTACAACCAGGCATGAGAAACCTCCTGTGGAGTTACTGGAGTCCAAGAGAATCCCCAAACAATAGAAGCTATTTCCATTGCCGTTGGTTGCCCCCTAGAAATTAAAGGTAAGTCTCTATTGCTGAAGACACCACACATGTTAGACACAGGACTTGGAGGAACCAAGCTGGAACCAACCTGAAAGCCTCTTCTTCCCAAGGACCAGCTCTTACAGTACCAGAAGGAGCTATGTAAGCAGCCAACGGGAGAGAAGCAACAGTATCCTGCTGTCTGTAACACCTGTTACTGAACCAGTGACCAGAACGGCAAGACATCTCCAAAGATGAAACAGTTGTACTTACACCCTGAGGTAATCAACAGCCATCCAATTGGACTGAAGGCCCAGTCAATGGAGGGAATTCATGTCCATTACCCATGCTGGTGAGGCCATAGGCCCGAAAGAGAACCAACTGCTGCCACCTCACTAAGCCAGTATAATTTCTAACTGCATTCCAAATATTTACCCTATACCCACAGGTACGTGTGGCACTTACTCCTCACCAAATAAGTGTGTTTCTGCAGCAGATGGAGACCATTACAGAAAGCTACAAATGGCCAGAATGCCAGACCGACTGAATGGGTTGACCACTGATACATCTACAACCCAATCGCTACACCTAAGCCTCAAGGAACATGCAAAGTGGGGGTGGATGCAGTGATGTGAAGAGCCAGAGAGCCAGGATGGGGTCTCTGTGGCTGGACAATGCTTTCTACATATGACAAGGAAGCTGCACCCAAGAAGTCTAATAAAATGGTTGCTGAAATAAGGCCTTAACAATGACAATACCAATATACATGCCAACATTCATGGCATGGGTGACTTCTCATGGCTCTTCACCCCTAGAAGAGCTACAGGAAACTGATGGTTGCTTTGAGAGGGAGAATCAGTCTTCTCCATGGGCCAGCCCACTGAGAGGTTAGCCAGTCCCAAGAGGTCAGCCCTAAACACATATGAGTAATATTAAATATCTCAGCAGACTGTCATTATAAACTTTATACATACATATGTAAACATAAAATATATGTGCATATGTATAATTAAAGAAAAAGAAGCCATGCCACTGAGTGTGATGGCACAAACCTTAAGTCTCAGCACTCAGGAGAATTCAGAGGCTTCTGGGTCTTTGTGAACTCGAAGCCAGCCTGGTCTGCATAGTGAGTTCCAGGACAGAGCCAGTGTTACATAGAGAGACCCTGCCTCAATATATATTTTTTCTGCCATGTTCCCCGAGGCTTCAGTGAAGAGACAGTGTTGTAGGTTTATCAAGTGGGACAGTGAGAAGGAGTGGGTGGGACCTCGAGGTACTGGAGGAAGGAGAGGGAAGGGGAAATGATGAAAATATAGTACTCATATATGAAATTCTGAAAAATAAAAGGAGGAACAATCAGGAAGACACTCAAGGTGGACCTCTGCCTCTACTCACAGGCACACACTCTCACACACACACACCCAAAAACATGCCCACACGCACACACACACATTTTCATTCCTTCTCTTTCTCTCTCTCTCTCTCTCTCTCTCTCTCTCTCTCTCTCTCTCTCTCTCTCTCTCTCTCACACACACACACACACACACACACACACACACACACACACAGTTACTCCCAGTTCATAGTTGGAAAATCTAAGTTACTATCTATAAATATTTGTTAAATAAACATTAGGCAACTTGCCTCTTATCAAATGGAAATGTTTAGCACAATTTGATTGGGACTCCAGATCTATTTGACAGCAGAAGCTAAACAAGTAAGACATGTAGTTCAGTTTGGGCTTTTGAAAGCTGGATTATGTTTGCTTGGCAAACCACGTAATGAGAAGCTGACACGTTTTCAGAGTCTCTCTAAACAAGAAGGTGGGAGATAGCCATGCTACATGCAAACATATGTCCAAGCCCTGAACATTTACCTTGTATGGATTCTGACTATTGTGATATTTCATTTGTGCTCTAACAAATAAAGCTTGCCTGAGGATCAAAGGAAAAAGCCAGCCACTATATTAAACATAGAGGCCAGGCAGTGGTAGCATGCCTTTAATCCTAGCATTCGGGAGGCACAGATTCATTCAGATCTCGTGAGTTCAAGGCCACACTGAAAACAGAGCCAGGTGTGGTGGCACATGCCTTTAACCCCAGCACTAGTTAACCATAGAGGTCCGGAGGTCTGTACAGACAGGAAGTGATGTAGCTGGGCAGAGAGAGAAAGTAAGATGGCAGGGCACAGAAAGGTATATAAGGTGTGAGTATACAGGAAATAGCTCTCTTGGGCTGGGGTAAGAATTTGTGGCTGTGGCTTGTTCCATTCCTCTGATCTTTCAGCTTTCACCCCAATATCTGGCTCCAGGTTTTTTATTAGTAAGATCATTTAGCAATTCATGTTACAGACTGTTGTGTCTTTTCTCTGGTACTCTACAAAAACATTTCAAAACAGAGCCATGGAGCCTTAGTGCCAGAGAACTTAGAGCTTGGAAGTTATTTGGTCCAGTCTCACATCACAGCCTTGGAAAAACAAACTGGATAAGAACATGCTGAAATAATGAGATTAGCAAGAGAGGTAGGAAGGGACCCGGCTCCGCTACACTGACAGGAGTAACTGTGAAGAGAGCAAGGACCCCAGTAAGGGCTGTGGCCATAGGAGAGGAATGTCTGCAGTGTGACTTACACATGGACTCTTGATCATTGCGACAGCTGCTGTCGTCGCCGTCCTGAATAAAGCAGTTTCCGAGCGGTGTCACACGGGCAACATACGCCACATCTGTATTTGAATTGATTCCTCTTACAGACCCGTAGTTACATCTTTTCCCACTATTGCATTATTTCCATCTTAATTTCGGCATCAACTGATACTTATGCACATTACTGAAGCTATAGACACGTCATTAAAATGATGTCAAATGAGAAGAGAACAAGAACCCGGCAAATGTAACATGTATTTTATGATAAGCATCAGAAAGAACTAAAAACAGCTCAGCTTTATTTTTGTCTCAAGGAAAGCTTGTAAAAAAAAAATAAGGTGCGCATTGTATGTCATCACTCTGAGCTGTAAAGACACGGAATCACCTGGAAAAGTCAACGCGTGTTCTCTTTTGTGGGAGAGATCAGGGGTTCTTTTGAAGACGTCCCATTCACATCCTCAGTTCAAGTCTTATTTTTGGCTTCTTGTTTCTTTTTTACTGCTTTCTTTGGTTATATGGAGACAATGGAGACTCGATGGTTCTGGATTTGAAGCTTTCAGATGAATCCTTCACCTGCAGCGGCAACCGTCACCACAATTGCCTCTGAGGAAAATAACCAGTCGTCTTCTGGAGCTTCACCAGAAACTTCTTCAGCGCCGCTTTCTCTTTGTCAATCTCCCTGAAGCGAACTGTTAGAGCTTTCTGGAGTTTCTGAATGTGAAGCTTGGTTCTCTTTTCCTCTCCGAGGTTGTTCACAAGGGCCTTCCGCAGGTTCGAGGGGTCGCCTCCAGTTTTGATGTTCGTTTTTCTCACTATGCCACCCATTCCACCCAGTTTGTGACTGTGGCCAAGGAGGCTCGAGGAGGCTCGAGGCAGGGCAGGGCAGCTGCCTGTAAATGTCTCTGTAAAGTGATTCTTCTGGGGTTTGGAATAAAGAACCAGAGTGGCATGGAAACAGAGCCTCACGGAATCCTGGAGCTGAGTGACATCAGGGACACCCCTAGCCCCAGACTCTAAGGTTCAGTGCTCAGGAGACGGTTTTGAGCTAAGAGAGTCACCATTCTTACTCTAGGAACATAGATGAGTATATCTGAGTGCCAGACTGGCAGTCAAATGCCTACTGCCACTTGTGTTTGGACTTGATGCCACATGGTAAGTGCCTTAGGCGGTCATAATCAGGACCAGAATGTTTAAGTTCATGGGGAGAAAAATTAGAAGACTGATTCAATAACTGGGTTAGTTTCAAAAGTGATTCATTCTCATATGTGTGTGTATTTATACATACACATTTATATTTAATACATATATATAATATCTATAATCATACTATATATTTATGTTTAATATATTATTTTACATATTATATTATGATATTTATATGTACAATATATATATACTCCAAAACGGAAATATATCTTTATTACAATATATATTTCTGTTACAGAAAGAACTAAAATGAAGACAGTAGTAAAAGTATATGTACGTTGATACACGGGACTGGGATTGGAGAGATGATACGAACCTGTGATTTTTCTGAATCAGTATGAATTCATGGTTGTATCTGTCAGTCAGTACAAAACCATAGTTCTACTGTCAGCAGCCGCAGGGACGGATCACCACTCTAAGACTGTCACCCACGGTCACTCACGGCAGCCCAAGGGGCTTTCTAACCTCTTAGAGACTTCAATTTCGGCAGAGCCAAGTCCTTCACTACCGAGCAGAATCTCAGTGTGACCAACCGAGTGTGACTAATCTCAGTGTGACCAATCTCAGAATCAACCAGTGTGAGCAACTGCAGTTTATTAAAAGACATTTGAAACACAGATTTTTATCAATGAGTAAAAGAAAGTAAGCCACACTAGAGACCATGAATGTGCTTTTCAAAGAAGAAACACATTGAAATGTCTTGACAGTGAACACACATGCTGTTTTGGTGGGCCTCAACTGACATCTGAAAGGGTTGCTAGGAAGTCTCCACACACTTTAAAAATGGCTTAAAAGAACGAGAGGCTATTTTAATACATTGGCTGCCTGGCAGCGGATAGTCATGAGGTTGGCTCTTCGAGGAAACTTGATTTGATCAGGGTGCAG